TAGCCAGACACGCGGCGTTCCTTCTGACAAGGTTCAGAATTGGAGATGATGGAAAGAGTGCTTACCAACGTGCTGTTGGAAGAGAGTGGAGAAGGCCGACAGTGGTGTTTGGGGAACAGATCCTGTTCAAGCCTGTGGGTGCCATGGGCAAGAAGAGGAGTTCACCTTTGGAGCCACGGGTGGCCATGGGACGCTATGTGGGTACAGCGAGCAGGAACGCGGACCTCCTCGTGATGACGCCCACTGGTGTTGTGAAAGGACACTCTTTGCACCGAAGACCGGAGGAAGACCGTTGGTCGAAGGAGGGGTTCGACCAACTGAGAGGTTTGCCGTGGAAGTGGACCAACCCAGTTGAGCGAGCACCGCCCAACCGAGTGGACATGCCCGAGCTTGTTGGTGAACAGCCTGTTCCGGATCCTAAAGAATATAGGGCGAGGAACCTCTACGTGCTCAAGAGCGACTTGGAGAAGTATGGCTACACCACTTTGTGTCCAGGGTGTGAGGCGCTGATGCTGGGATTGCCACAAAGGAGCCACAACCCGGAGTGTCGGCTCCGCATCCAAAGGCACCTCGTTGAAACCGAGGAAGGAAAGCAAAGAGTGCAGAGAGCACTCGACAGACAGGAGAAAGACTACTCCACGAAAGCGCGGAAGAAGCGAAAGGCCGAAGATCAACCCGTTTTGGAAGGTCAGCCTGCTGATGGCGAAATCGCTGCTGAAGAAGCAGCCGGTGCGCCACTTGAGCGCCCTAACCAGTTGCAGGACGACAGCTCTGCGCAGCGAACCCAGAAGCGCGAGGCAGAGCAACACGTCGAAGACCTTTACAGGGAAGAGCAGGAAACTGACGAGCCCGAGATCGTCAGAGCGAACCTCCAAGGTGGAAGCTCAGGTTCTGGAGGAGAGAACACCGACCTGTCTTACAAGCAGGTGGAGGAAGCTCAAATGGATGATGTGAGTCATCTAGAGAAGGAGTTCCATTCAAGAGGGATGCAGTGTACGAGGAAGCAAGCAGAGGAGATATCCAGCCTAGTTGGTTCACTAGGCGTGGACGTCAAAGCCTCTGTTCCTCTGAACGAGGGACTGTGTCTCAGCGTTGAAGACAAAGGGTGGAAGCTCCAGAAGCAGGACGAAGTGGAAGCTTTGTTCAAAAGGCTGGAGGCTGAGAAGCCGACGTTACTCGTGGGACTACCGCCTGATGGTCCGTTTGCGGGAGTGCAGAGAAGCTACAACTCCCTTCAGAAGGCGAAGAAAGAAAAGGAGAAAGAAGTGCTGGAAGCAGGGAGGAAACAAGTGAGGACCTGCGTTGAAGCATATCAGTACCAACTGGGACAGCAGAAGTACTACCTTCAAGAGTGCCCCAAGGGAGCAAAGTCTTGGGAGCACACTCAGTACCAGCAACTGAGTGAAGAGTCCTATGTGGTTGAAGGGCCAATGTGCAGGTGGACTGTGGACAACAGCGGAGGAAATCTCCAAGGAGCGAACTTCAAGAAGAAGACCCGCTGGATCACGAACTCCGCTGCCCTAGCTGCAGCATTGAGAAAGGTGTGTACGCAAGGAGCGAAAGAAAGAGTTTGGCAAAGAGACCTCACGTTTGAGGAGGGGAAGGTTGCAGCAAAGCTGCGCTATCCCCCTAAGCTAGCTCACGCGATTGCCAAGGGCATTCGAGCGCAGTTGGTGCTCGACGGTGAACTTCAAGCAATCGGTTCTGTGGCTGGACCTGATCCACACGAAGAGCCGAACTTCGAAGAGCACCACTACGACACCCTGCCGCGAGCAGATGAGCTATACGTGAAGACTCCGGTGATCGATGCGAACACCGGTGCCGAGCTCGACCCATCAAAAGTTGCAAAGGCACGCCTAACGGAACTTGAATGGGTCAAGAAGCAAAACGTATACACCAAAGTAGACGAAACAACCTGCTGGCAAGAAACTGGAAGACCGCCCATTACCCTCAAATGGGTCGATCGAAATAAGGGAGACAACGTCAACGAAAACTACAGGAGCCGACTTGTAGTCCGTGAAGTGAAGTCTCAGGGTCAGGCAGCGTTGCTGCCAGAACACGCACTTTTCAGCTCGATGCCGCCACTCGAGGCAGTAAAGCTGTTGTGTTCACTAATGACCACTTTGCGCGTTTCGCGCAGAGGAGCCAAGTTGTCGTTGCGGTTGATTGACATCAGCCGTGCCCACTTTTATGGTCGTGCCACTAGACGCGTTTTTGTGACCCTTCCAGAGGGTGATGAGTCTGAGGGCAAGTGTGCACTCTTACTCAAAACAATGTATGGGACGCGCGATGCGTCGAGTACGTGGCAGCGAGACTATAGCGAGCTCATGAGGAAATATGAGTTCGTCGCAGGCAAAGCTTGGCCATGCATCTTTTACTGCGAGAAAGAAGACATCCGACTGCTAGTTCATGGAGATGATTTCTTTTGCTTGGCAGATGATGAAGGCCATGCCTACCTAGACAAAGCCTTGACAGAGCGCTACGAGTATCGATGTGATGGTCACATCGGACCGAACCATGGGGAACAGATGGTCGTACTGAATCGTCTTATCTGCTACAACAAGGAGACTGGGACGGTCACCTACGAAGCAGACCCCAGACACGTGGAAGCTCTGGTGAGAGAACTGAACCTAGAGTCTGCAAAGTCAGCGAAAACTCCTGCCGAGAAGAAGAAGCAAGGAGAGGTTGTAAAGGCACTTGAAATGCCACCAATGAACGGCGCGATGCAGAGAAGCTATCGCTCGATAACCATGCGAGCCGCATTTTTGGCCCAAGATAGGCCAGATATCGCCGAAGCCACAAAAAGTCTTGCCAGACATATGAAGGCTCCGAACGAAGCCTCATGGTCAGACCTAAAAAGGCTCGGGAGATATCTTCGCGGGAAGCCAAGGTTGGTGTTTGAATACCACCAACAACGGTTCCAGAAAGACCTTACCGTTTTCTGTGATTCAGACCACGCTGGCTGTCTCATCACGCGGAGGTCGACAACGGGAATCGTTACCATGCATGGATCACATTGCATCAAGCACAGCTCCAACGTGCAGACTACTGTGAGTCTATCGTCTGGAGAAAGCGAGTTCTATGCAATAGTGAAAGCTGGAGCAGTAGGCCTAAGCCAACAGGCGCTGCTATCAGATTGGGGCATCAAAGTGAACCTAAGAGTTCTGAGCGATAGTAGTGCAGCAAGAGGAACTTGCTCAAGACAAGGTCTTGGACAGACGAGACATGTGCAAACAAGATATCTGTGGGTTCAAGAAAAGGTTGCAAGGAACGAGCTCAAGCTCGAGAGAGTTGCCACCGACAAGAACCTTGCGGATATATGCACAAAGCCGTTACCGGAGGCTGCAGTTGAGAAGCACCTACGCACAATGGGGCTGAAGCACTACGACAAAAGAGCTCAAGGAGGAAAGAAGCTTGTGTGAGCCAGAAGGCCAACAACAGGAGTAGAGGACGAGAGAGAGTGTAGAGGCCAATGGATGCAAAGCATCACCTGGCCTAGGAGGGGTGATTCGATGTAGGAGTTTGCATAGGATGCAGTTGCATGTTTCACTCTGTATAATAATCGTTGTTGGCTCAAGCCTGGAAAATAGTGCGCTGAGTGATTAGCAGACGCTAAATCTCCGTTCAGGAAGGCGCACTGGATGTCGCCTGCGGCAGCCGTCCACGGGTCGGCTGCTCCAAGTCCATTCGCCAGCAACTGCATGAGGCAAGCGAAGCCTGGTCGTGATTGCGTAGGAGTGGCCGTGTCTAAGGCCTCGACCCCAAGATCGGGATCGCGATGTCCCCCGATCACCGAACGGTTCTTGCATCTCCAGGCCGGCTCTTGCTCGCCTCCACTTGCTTGACGGGCAGCCCAATTTTTGTCACGGTATGCCCATCTATACGACAATATGCGGGAAGCGGGAACCGTTTCCCTGATGCGTCTCGACTCCTCGAGACGCAGTGGTTCCAGGGCATCGTAGAACAAATGCTCATCCCACTGGACCTTTTCCGCGTCCTTGAAAAGCTTCCGGGCGTGTTCCGGGATCTCTGTCCCCCGCAACTCGCTGCGTGAGTGCCTTGTGGGTGAGCATCACTTCGTCGAGGTCCCGGCCGATATCGTCCTTGCGGGTCTTCTTGCGTAGACGCCGTAGAGGTAGAATATGTTCAGGGGTGTGCTTCTCGGTCTCGTCCATCTCGTGGTCACCTTCTCCGTCGAGAACAACCCCACCATCGGATATGTCGGAGCCATCGTCGGAGAGGTGGTCCAAACCATCGTCCTTGCGCTTCAAGGCGTCGCGATAGTCGTCGCCTATGGCCCTTTCTTCACCTTCGTCGTCGTCGGCCTCCAGGTAGGTGTCGGGGTCGTCGAGGCCCATGGCAAGCAACTTGTTATAACCTCCTGGCGCACGCCCTTCATGGTGAGGAACTCGCCAACCTCTTCTGGGCCTGAGTTGCGCAAGTGTTCTGGGGCCGTGAGCCGCAACGACTAAGATCCAGTAGCTCCCACCTTGCTTTCCGACCACAACTGCCGGTCCGACCCAATGTGGTCGGCGACGGTCCTTAGGCTGGTCCCAGTAGTGCACAGGGTCGACTGCCTTCGCGGTCCGCGCGCGATGAAGTAGTCCCCGACGGCACTTACTCTGACTGCCGCTGCCCGTTGGAACTTGGAGTCCTCCGTTAGGTCCCAGGTCACAACTCCTCCGGCATCTAGGTCGCACAACTACTCCTCCAGGCTCCGTGGCGACTTGCCCAGCACCCATTGTGTTGGGCTGTGGCCATATCGTCTCCTCAAGTCGTTCTTGGCTGCGCAAACCATTGCCCCGGCGATCTCGGCCTCCTCTTCGGTAACGTTCAACCCGTGGACGACGTGCTCCCATATCCCCTTGAACCATCCGATTTGTCGCTCGGTGACGCCGCTCTGCCACTTTGCCTGGGCCGCCACATCCTTCATCCGTATGTTGTGCCAGTCGCATAGACGGCCAAGACCAGCTTGAACTTTTCCGTCTAGGTTCAATTAAATGGTAGTTGGCGGTCCAAACGGCGCCAAGGGTCGTCGAGAACACTTTGGTCGGCAAAGCAGTGAACCCACTACGACCGATACAACACACAAAGGAGGGCAGTGGCGACCAAGTCTACGAGACCCAGGTGATGTTCACCTATGGGTGAGTGAGCGGGATAACCCGCTGTACTAAGGACCACGAGGCTGTCGTTTGCTTCCTCAACGACTTCGGCAAGAAGCATCTGGGCGAGAAAGCTACGTGGACTTCAGTGGCAGTGACCCGGAACGTGTCGTGTGACACACACCGGGACTCCAACAACCTACGAGGAGCCCTCAACCACACGGTGACGTTTGGACAACGCGCTGGAGGAGATCTATGGCTTGAGGAGGAGAGAACGCCGCCAACAGCAGCGCCCTTGTGTGGCGGAAAGACCGGCCCGGAAACTGGGTTCTTGGGAAGTTTCACTCTACCAAGGAGAAGCCGTTGTCCTTTGATCCTTTCCTGTGCCATTCTACTGGAGCTTGGGATGGAGATCGCTGGTGCCTCACCTACCACACCGTGCGAGGCATCAAAGAGGTTGGTGGCGAGATCAAGAAGTACCTGAGAGGGTGCGGTCTCCCACTGCCAAGAACCCCGCGAGAGACGAGAGGCCCGAGGCCAAAGCCAGCGAAAAGCGAACGGAAGAACATCATGAACGCGGCTGGGAAGTTGAGCGTGCTCATGGCCAGGTTCCTGGCCGCCGCGGGCACCTTCCTGAATGAGGCCCAGGACCCCGTCCCCGAGCACGACCCGATTGTGATGATGGAGATCGGCGGCTACGAGGGCACGATCGAGGCGACCGAGCTGAACAAGGCGGTGATCGAGCCCATCCTCTGGCCAGATAATGAGAAGCCTGACGTGCAGGAGAATGCGTGCCACTTCGTGAAGGGAGCCAGTCCAAAGGAGTTGAGGGTGCACCTCGACGAGATGCCGGCGAAGGTCGAGGCAGCGGTCAAGGGTTTGGTGCGAGACCAACTCCGAGAAGGCGATGTCGTGCTACGTGGACGTGATCTTCAGGCGTGGGTCGGTGAGCACACCGACTTCATCAAGTATAAGTCCAACGGCTGGTTGGTGCTGGGGAGGACCAAGAAAGACAGCGTGACCCTACAGGGGACCGAGAGGCCCTACGAAGTGTGTATGGACGGGCCTGATGGGGCCGAGCGACCGGAGACGAAGTACGATGGTTCCGGAATCACCTTTGAGAAGACAGTGTCCAACATCGTCAGAGCATCGTTGCGACGACTACACAAGAACCTCGGGCACCCTAGGGCCGAGGACCTCTGCCGACACCTGCGTTTAGCAGGGTGTGAACCCAGTGTCATTAAAGTCGTGAAGGGAATGAAGTGCGAAACCTGTCAGGCGACAAAGCACGCACAGATAGCGAGGCCAACTACGCTGCCTAGGTTGCTGGACTTCAACTCCTGCGTTGGGGTTGTTTCTTTCTACGCCTACGACGCATTGGACAAGAGGCACACCTTCCTCCTCGTCGTCGACTGCAACCACCTATCAGGTTGTCATCAGACTGGACAGCGAGGACGGGCCCTCTGTTGAGAAGGCCTTCAACAAATATATTGGTTGACAGTTCTCGTAGGAGGTATCGGCCCAGTCGAAGGACGCGTCCCCATAACGCAAGTGTCGTGAATCGCGAACTCCATCATGGAAGGCGCCGTGATCGTTGTGCTTGTTGTCGTAGGTCTCCACAGTCGGAAGACCACACCCTTCACTGCCCGGGCCAGCATTGGTGTTGTAGTTCAGGGCTTTGTTGAGGTATCCCCGAATACAGTCGCCCTCTGCAATGCAGTCTTGTTCACGCACGGCTCCACAACACCAGACTTCCCGGTCCCTTCTGTCCTGGTCCAGTCCACCGCGTGGACCGTCCAGGCCCATATCGAATTTAACGGATTTGAGCTTCGCGCTTTGTCCTTCAGCACCGCCAAATTCGTCTCGAGGGCCTTGATCTCGTCGAGTACGGTCTGGTCCGGCTGGGAGTCCATGATCTTCTCGTCCTTGTCGATCAGGTCCTTGCTGGGGCGCTTGGGCGTTGCCTTCGTGTTCCCCTTCCCGTTGTACCGCTTGGTCGGGGTGAGATTCACCTCGTCCTAGGATCCCCTCGATGATGTCGCCGCCCGTTGAGTGCCCTTGGTATTCTCTACCTCGCTGTCCTCGTCGTGGATCTCCGTCTTGTTCGACTTGGCACGCTGTTGTTCCTGCCACCATCGGGCATACATCACGAGCTCCGGCGAGGAGTTCTCTCCGAGCGAGCGGTTTCCGCTCCTGCCCAGCTCCCGTAGGCGTCTGGGATGTCTCTTTACAGACTTCCCTTCCATCGGCGGATGGTGACCCTGCTCGATTTCACCGTAGACCTCACGACGCGAAGAAGGTTCCCTTTCGTCACTTTGTCTGGCACCATCACTCCCATTTCGGTCGCCTTCTTCCTGAGATCCGCCAAATATAGTGAGCTTAGGCCCTTCATCTGGTCCGCGGCCGTCTTCTCCCCATAGGTCGAGATGGGGTCTCGGATTGTCGCCTTCAGCTCTACCACGGACCACGACTCGTTGAGCTTCCTGCAGCAGTTGGGCCTTGGTCATGCGGCTGAGGGGTGTCTCCTTGGCACGGCATTCCGCGAAGTCCATGCCCTTGATCGGGTACGCGAAGGTTGGGAGTAGGGGGCGCAATTTTGTAGAACACTGTTCTGCCGAACCAAAGCAACGGGAAAGTGGTTTGATCAACCTGGCCATGCTCCCACTGATCTACCGTGGACTCTATCCATGCTCCGGTCTTGCAACACACGCACTCTGTCATGCGAACTGTGCCGATGGTAGAGACGAGCATATCCCTGAGAACGGTAGAACTAGTACGCCAGGTTGAGGGATTAAACATTGCCCTTCGAGGAATCATATGCACTCTGACCCGCATGTCCTGCGTCTCTAGCCAGAAGTCCCGATCAAGATTGCATTTCTCCCACCACACGACAAAAATATCACGTTGAAGACGACCCTGGCTCAGCATATCTCGGGTGCTGGGGTCGAGTTTCTTGTCGTAGAAGATATCAGAGTACTTCGGGATTTGGGGTGCTTGATGGGCTACAGGGCTACAGCAAAGACGGACATGTATTGCTCGGCTTGCTGGAGTCGTGGGTCATCGATCTGTAGGTCCGGCGTTTCGCCGGGCATCAAGTTGACAGGAACGATTAGGATCGCCGGGTGTCCAGATGAGGTAGTCGTCAGCATGTAGTCGTAAAGTTTGATCGCCCTAAAATCGGCCTTCCCATTCTTAATATCGTAGATCATGCCCAGCTTCCCGAGCACGGTCGTGCTCAGGAGGAGCGGGATGTCCCCGGTAATGATTGAGGTCCGTACCTGGATGTTGTAGCCGCCGAGCTTGAAAGCAACGATCACGTAAAACGAGGAGTAGTGGACCTTGCCCGTGCCGAACCTGTAAGCCTCGCACTCCTTCATCAAGGCGGGCTTCTGACCGATCTCGGCCAAAAGGTTCGCGTAGGACTGTAGCCACTGAGTCCCAGGCACCGTCCGGGCACACGCCGTGTCCGCCACCCCGAGGAGCCTGCTAGGGATGTGCTTAAGGGTGAAGACATCAGCCGCAAGCACCGTAGTCATCGCCACGTTGGCGCTATTGTCCCCTTTCGACTAAAAGCACTGTTCAAAGGACAAGCATCGTCTTTGTGCCAGTGTCCTTTGCGTCTGCATCCTTCACAACAGCTCCTCGTCTTCATAGCTTTCAGCTTTGTCTCGCGGTCTGAATCCCTGGCCTCGCCGCGCTTGCGCTCATCGCCTGGCCCATCGGGCTTGCCCCCCTTCTCGCCACCACTCGTAGTTCCACGACCTCGTTGTTTGGGCTCTGTAGCGCTCCTTGGCCAACTGGTAGGTCATGAACGCCTCGGTCACGTCCTTTGGTATGCGCTCTTCGCCTTCAAAGGGGTCCTCGCCTTCGGTGTTGTAGTCGCAGTCCGTCATGTGGGCGAAGCTCGTCCGCCGCGGCCTGGCATTCCCAGTCTCCCAAGCTTTACGTTGGCCCCTGTCGTGGAGTACTGCTGCATGCTGTAAATGGCGAAGATTGTACCGGTTGCCCCCACTCGCTAGTAGGTTCAGTTCTTGGGGTTCATTTAGTTGAAGCCTGTCCAGATATAACCATGCCACGTATTCTTCTGGAAGAGAACAGCCAACTTCCCTGAGCCATCCGTAAAGACGGTCGTACTCGGTGTTATACTCCCGGATGGTCTGGCCTGGTCGTCGGCGAAATTTGCGGAAGAAGTCTGAGAAGGCACGTCCTATGCGAGCAACTTCAAGGTCCAAAAAATGCGCCGAAACCCATCCAGTGAAGTACTGAAGTCCTTCTCCCGAACTGAGCCTAGCCACAGATAGCTCCTCGGCAGCGATCCAAGCCTTGCCTCCAAGGTGTTGGTAGAGAACTTGTTATTCGCTTCCAAACCTCGATCTGCCTCAAGTAGGAGCGCGCCGAATTCCCGAGGTCCTCCGTGTCCTCGGCCGTGAAGGTGGGCACCGTCAGTCTTTCTAACGGTCTGGGTCCAGCGGGTGCAGCTGCTTGATCTCCGAAGCTTTGCCACCCATTCCATCCGGCCTGCGACCCATCATCGTAGGGTCGGCTGTCCGACCAGCCTGGGTCGGATCCCGGCGGGTTGCCATCATTCCGCCGGCGAAGGGTCCCGCTTTCGTTCCAGCGAGTGAGGTCTTCATGATCACGTAATCGAAAGTTCGGGCCCCGTCCATCCGTCCATGGGGCAGGTTGATAAACTCCAGGATCGTATCCGCGATGGTTATGGTCTCGACCATCTGCCCAGGGAGTTCCTTGGCAGTGACCTCCGGTATCGGGTCCTCGTTGCCAGCGGTCTCGACCATCTGCCCAGGGATCGTCGTGGTATACTCCCGGATCGTATCCTCGACCTCCATCGCGGTAGCCGCCACTCCAGTCACCACCGTCGTTGCCCCAATCGCGGCCACTTCGCTGGGATCTCCTTTCCCAGCCGGCGTCGCTCGCAATGGGCGTCGTCGCGGCGCTCCGATCTCCACTAAATATCACTAAATATCCTGACTGCCCTTGTGCCACGGATCTCCTCCGCCTTGCGAAGGGTCGCTACCATCCGCTCTCTGAGCCGAAGCACTGTGGTCTCCTTGAGGCACTGTCCCGCCATTCTCCGGCGGGGTAGTGCTTTTCCCGCTTGTCCACTCTCGTTGAGTGGCGTCTCTCTCTGAGCGCCCATCGTCGGCGCCCTTCGCATCCTTGTCAAAAGACACACGGCCAGGATCTCCATCTCCCTCACCGGACTTGGAGTCTCTGTCAGACTCCGATCTCTCGCTTCCCCCGGAAGTGGGTGTTGGCGGCATCGCCACAGGTGGCTCGGTCGAGCCCAGATCATCGAAGCCCGGAGGCGGGCCAACGGCACGACTTGCCATGCAACTAGGTCCTACTGGAGCATACTGGCTCCGCTACCAGTTTACAACACTAGGGGCACTACACGATCTACACAAAACCCTGACCTCCACAGCGAGGCAGCATTCTCCATGATCCACAATGCCTTCGATAGCGCTCATCTGTCAGTGTCGAGATCTTTCTTTCAAAGCACAGCAAAACGAAGATTATCAAAAATGCTGTCACGATGATGATCATTGCAAATATTCACGTTGTGCTTAAGACTGATGACGAACGAGCATGCGATCCAATAGGATTCACCTCAAGCAACGGCAATTGTCGGTACCCCCACTCACGGAGCAAACTCTTGATAGATGTAGTTCGGATCCACCGCTATTCGTCGATATGACTGATAAGCTTCCTCGTGCGACCGCAGGGCAATCCCTAGCCTTGCACAAATACAAGTGATGTAAGGTACCGGCAGGCAAGCAATCTGGTTCACCTTCGTGCTCCATATAATGCTTGTAGTAACCGTCAGAAGCACCCAAATAAGTGCCTTGAATGAACCCGCCTCTGGCATCGTCCAGATACTTTTTTGTCACTTGTAAGATGGTATCGCCTTGCGAGTGCCAACGATCATGCAGACGTTTGATGAGAAGATACGATAG